ATGATGTGTATATGGTTTCTGCATTCCTTGTCCGTGATATTCTTGGGTATATGGTGCAAATATATCTGGTTGTAAATGATCATCATCAGAGGATAGGTAATCCGTTTGATGAGGTGTTTGTTTTTTATTTTTATTCTGTTGAAAGAATGGGTAATTTTCAGTATAATCCTGTGGAGGATGTGGATTAGCCTGAAAATTTACTGAATTGGTTGTTGCCATTGGATTATTCCAATATCGAGATCTGATTTGGTTATTATTATTATTTCGTGGAGGATAGTTTGTTTTTGATGAATGTGTATAATTATAATTATGTTCCGCAAAATTATTTCTTGTGAATGTTCTGCGTGTTTTCGACGGTATTGTCATGGGTCTATATGTTTGGTAATCCATTTGTGAATATTTTGGAGCAACCGAAGGTTTAACGGTTGACTGTAATGTTACCTGTGCTAGTGAAGTGTTTGTATTTCTTGGTGTTGTTAAATTTGGACGTATTGGTGAAATACTTTGTTGTTTAGTTGTTGTTGTTTGTACAATTTCTTCATTTATGAAGTGTGATGGTGTTTGAATATCTTGTTGAGTGAAGTTCCTAGTTCCATTAAGGTTTTCATTGTGTATGACGGTCGAGTTTAAGCTGTTATTTCGCGTATCGGGTAAAAATGTATTGTAGTTTAATGGTGTTGCATCAATTGTTAATGGTACTACTCTTACATAATCTCTGGTATAAGATATTCTACTTATTGCTTGACTTGCAATTGATTTTGGGATATTTAGATCAGTTTAGATCAGGTTCCATCTGTGCTATAGGTGGGAAACTGAAATGGAGCCTCTAAACTCTGTCTAGCTGGTAACGACAAAGTTGGCCTGTGAGGAGCTGCATTGGGTTGGGCATAATCCTGGAAACAAAAGTGGGTTTCAGTTTTGACATACTCTCCAACCGTCGTGAATTCTGGGATGAATTTTGCCCCAAACCTTTCCCACACTCATTCGTGGAGTGTGCTGCTTCATTGTTGATCCGCAACTCGGCCAGCTTCTTCTTTTTAGTTTCTCAATGCTAAGTTTTGATCAAGCAAAAGTGAACTGTGGTCATATAACAACCAAAATTGCCTTCGCTCTTAAAAGTACCACTAATGCTAGCAGTTGATTAACACTACATCGAACAGTTTTCAGACAATATTACCCAAAACTATTCGCATTGAAAATGAGCTTGCATAAGATATTAGAACTAACTGCCCTTTATGTTTTTTGTAAAGATCTGTTTCTGCACAAAACTTTCTCACACATTTTCGAACATTACAATTTTGCAGTGACAAAAACAAACTACTGCTAGGAATTGGCTAACATTACGAGGCCAAACTGTGCTTTTTGGGAAATGTAAGCGGATTCCGCAACATGGACGCTACCTTTGTTCTTCTTTTGTTCTTTTTTTTCTTTGATTGTTCCGGTAAAATTTTTAAAGACTTGTCTCTGCATTTTTTTCATAACTAGATCGAATAGATGATTTTTATGTGCATTTGTGAGACAAATCATTTAGTAATGAGTGGCAAGTTAGTTCACAGTTTTTTTTAACTTGTAAATTAGCAATTAGTTCTGTCTTGCAAACATTTTTGCCAATGCATTGTAGGTTTTCAAGTTTTTCAAGTTTTTGAGTTTTGAAGGCAGTTAGAGTTTTAGTTATTTTGTTTTGAATTTTTAACTGTTTCACAATTTTAAAAAAGGGATTATTTTTTATCCATGTTTTTCAATTGTAAAAAAATTAGACGTTAATTTTGTAGTCAATTTTGAATAGCACTCGGCTCCGAGCTTTTTCTAGACGACAGACTTATCGAGGACACCAAGCTCAATAGTGGACGCCAGGAAAGAAGATGCACAATAAACAAAGCCCCTTGAGTTGTGCCGGAGTCGCCTTCTCACCAAGAAAACCAACGAGGCCATCAATTCAACCGTTTACTCCCAAGGAAAGAATTGAGAAAATAATTTATAAGCCTAGAAAGTATCTTTTTTTTTGCCTGCTAGTTTTAGAATTGATGATTCAATCTTCCTAAGATACTATTTTCTTTAGTTAACCAAACACAAATTTGTCGTGTAATGAAATTTGTCTTTGATGGTTTTTCTTGGCCTTCTAGATTTAGTGGATAAGTCTTGATTTACATGCTTCTTTCATGAATTGAACCTTGAAGTTTTGAATTGGTGTGTGTTTTTTAAAATTTTGTCTTGTTCGTTATGATTGTTAAGAGTGTTTCTTTTTTGTCTGTGATAAATTTTGACTAGCAGACTTTCCAACGACCCATTGGAGTTTCTAAAAGTTTAATCATTCAAACGTGGTTTATATTTTGTTTTGTTTATAAATATTGATCACTAGATGATAGGAGTCTTCATTAAAGATAAATTCTCAATACCCACTTTTTGTGCAATCAAGCTGTTCCTTTGTGCTAATTTCTTTGTGCTTTTTATTCGATATTAACAGAGTTTCGAAGAGTCCTTGATCTTCTTTGTATTTTCTGCGGTCTTGATAATAATTTGAGTAATTATTTTGCTCTTTTTCTAGAGAATGTGTTTTCTTAAGACATTTTTCTTTCTACTTTTTTGTATCTATGGTGATTTTTGAACTCTGTGATGTAACGAAAAGATATCTGAGGTATTTATGGGACAGTTAAAATCTCAATTTCAGAAGAGATTTAAACTCATGATTGTTGTAAAAATTGTTCGGTGGATATTAACCTGACGAGTAATTTTCATAAGCTTCTTCCACATCAAAAAAAATTAGCAGAAAAACAAGATTTTAAAGGACAAAGTCCATAATTTGATCAGAGAATATCATGTTATAAAAGGCCCTATATTACCCTCATCCGAAGGAAACTTTTACATTATGGTAATAATTGATGCATTCACTCACTATGAAGCACTCAACCATGTACCTCATTGTAATGCTTGTTTTGCGTATACAACACTTTACGACCATTGGAGAGCAAAGTTTGGATTATCAGAAATCCTTGTCACAGATAATGGTATTGAATTTTTTTTAGAATGAAATCATCACACTATGTGTCCTTTATAACCTTAAACATAAACCCCGAACATCTCATTCCCCATGGATTAATGGTTTAGTCGAAGGTATGAACTGTTCCCTACAAAAAAATCTCCGTTGTATAATAAATGGAATTGAGTCCAAATACACCGAATGGTCAATTGACGTAAAACTATTCCTATTAGCATATGATTCAAAAAGAACAACAACCCTTGAATTATCACCATATGAAGTGGTTTCTAATCACAAACCACGTAAGCCAATTATGTTTACAACAAATTCATCAAAAAAGGTACAAGGTTATTGTCAACCTACAAAAAACTCAATTTGTTACATTTTACCAATTCATACACACGATGAAGATCAATTTCAGTATCCACAAACTTTAAAAGTAGCCCCTGGAACACATACAGAAATTATTTTGAGCCGAGATAAAGAACAAAACGAAATCTATTGAAAAACCGCTAAAAATTTTTCACAGAATGTTCAGTTCCAAATAAATTCACGATTTACGCCAGCCTGAAACCTAAAAATGGGAAAATGGATTTTAATCCAAAATTCTATATTACAAAAAGAAATCTCAAAAAAAACTATCTGAAAAAGATCATTTCAAATAACTGAAAAACCTACAGACAACACATATAAATGTATCGATCCCAACAAAAAAAAATGCAACATTGAGACAATCTTTTAACATACTATCCAGAAGAAAACGCCCTTTGCGAATTAACAACTAACAAAGGAACACTTTCGTATCATTACACTTTTTGTTTTAACATGGGCAACGGTTTATATTTACGTTTCATTTAAAAAACAGCGAAGTACACTTTTTATTTCAATTAAGGCAAAGGCTTCAATTTACGCGCCCATTTAAAAATAAGGCTATACAGAATACCGTACATATTGCTTTAGTGTTCCATTTTTTAAGTCGGACCAAATTGAATCGGTCTGACAAACTCTCTCCAAGTTGCATCAGTAACTTTGGTAGATGTCAAATTAAAAAAGACTTAGTTCTTGTACGCGACCTAAGAAAAACAGGGCATGAGAAAAGCCAAAGAAATTGGTTCCTATTTCAGTTCCATCGAAAAATGTTCTCGTTTTTTTTATGATCAAAAATAACTCAATCGGGTCGATTCCTAAATTTAGGACGTATTTTTAGGCAAAAACAATTTAAAAGAAAAGAGTCATTGTTGTTCAATCTTTATCTTCAGTAAAAACGAAAACAAAAGCCATGTAAGTTATAATATAGTATTTGGAATAAGATTTTTATCCCACAAAAGAGGAAGAAATTTTTTTTAAATAGGTTTCATGAAGGTGACAGGGTTTTTTGTGCTTCCCGCAAAACCAACGGTCTACTTTGTGCGTTTGTGCGACCATGCACCCAGTTGAGTTAAATAATATGCTAATGACGAATATTTTAAAAAACAGTTTATTGTGAGCCAGTTATTGGTTGTCGAAACAAACCATTTCTAACGTCTAGAGAGGGTAGCTAGTCTTTGCGAAAATTGGTAGATGAAACAAAAAGTGCGGACCAACTCTTTGAACAAGAATTTTTCTTGCTTTTCTTTTTGCGGGGTAGGGACAGGTTGCTCGGCTACTTTGGGGCTGGTCTTGAGCGAAAATAGCTTGAGTAGACTGAAATGTTCCACTTGTCCAACTCATGTTTTCTCACAGTTTTTTAAAAAGTTTTTCAAACCACTAAGATAAAGGCAAAACTCTTTAAAATGGCTGAAAATCAAAAACACAGTAAAAAAAAATGGTCGACGAAAAAACAGGTCATTTAATTGCAGTCCGAATCACGTTTGACATGATTTTAAAACTTTAAACCGCTCAACCGCATCTTATGTCTAATTTTGGTGTCTGGTTTGTGTGAAAGAAAATGACATCAGAGCCCAAATTTCCTTCACAATTCGTTCAAAACATATTTCTAGGTTATTTTCTTAAAAAATACAGCTGTAAATTTGTTTGTGAGTAAATTCAGTCAGCCAATCAAACTTTTACGACTAGGATTCAGTTTTATTGATATTTCTATTTGAGTATACATTGCATAATGAGCTCATAGCCACTGAGTTATTGAAGTTCACTCCATTTGTCCTCGCGACTATCACTTTTTGCCGCCCTGGTGCTCAGTTATTCCTTTATTCACATTGTTGTCAGCAGCTCTTTCCGCCCTAAAAAGAATATGACAAGATTAGTAAACAAAATTTTCACATCAAAATATGCCAGCAATTTTTTGTAAGGTGACTTCTTTGAAGTTTAATTGTAAACATTAAATATGCGCTGATCAACCTGGAGGCAAATTTTCCCGATTCCACTTGGCCGGTTCCGCTTTTTGTGGCCTCGCTGCTCTGGATTCTGGCGGCCGCATCTGTGGTCGTTGGAGTTTTTTTGTTTTCATCCGGCATGTTGATACAGTTCTAAATGGAAATATAATAAAATCTTTTGCTTGACATTATTTTTTTCAATTTGAAAAGCTATCGCCGGTTTTGGTGGTTATTAAAAAAATTGAGTTTTTTTGCAAAGTTATTGTAGAGTGTCATTTTATTTCTGACATTATAGGTTGCTTTTTCAGCTCGTGAAGATACTCATAATTTGACACATTTTTAATGGAAAAAGTAAACTAAGTTTTCAAGTAATAAAACTGAAAAAAAAAATAAACAAGTTAATAAAACACACCTGTTTCTATTTTTTCTTAAAATTCGGAGAGATTTTTAGTCAAATATGTTGCTTCTGATCTCTACTGTGGTTCTAAAATGAATGTTTTACTGAAAAAAATGGTATATAAAAACAGTTAGTTTTAGTAATGTGCTTTTTTAGCTCTAACTTGGCGACAGTATGTGTAAAAAGTATTCATTTCATTTCTCAGATATACAAGAATTGTCTAATTATGAAACCAACAACCATATTTGGATAAGAAGTAGATATTTTGGCGCTTTTGTTATGCTGTTCGTCGTTTCTGGCTTTTTTTCATGGCTTGTTGTGCTGACTCAACCAAGTTTGATACAAAAACGACAAGATTGTTTATGAAAATACAAAAAATAGGCATGTGAAGCTAAGATGCACATCTCTTTGGGATTCGTTACCCTTTTTAGTGTGATAAAAATTTGGGGAAACCCCAAAAATTCCATCATTCATTGGACCTATAATTAAAGATCAGCCTCATAACTTTCAAAACTATTCATATTGAATTCGGAGTAATCAAACTTTGAGCTCAAAATAGTCAAATGAATTATTTTTTAGTCAAATGAAAGACAAACAAATGGCATTATAACGCTGCAGTTGTGCCAACTTGTTAACATTTTGCCAACAAAGGGAAGGATTCTATACAGAAACTAGAGCTCTATACAAAAACTAGAACTCTGTTTTGGGCTGTGAAATAGAAAAGATTCCGATTACTGTTACTATCAGAGCGTCCTGAAACACAAAATTTAAATGGTCAACTTGGAAAAATTATGCGCACTAAAAAGTCTTATTTATGATGCTGAAAACACAATGTGATTGAGTTATCCGTAGCAAACTATTACGCACTACGACTTGAAGCAAGATACTGGGGCGTATTAATTTACTATTGATCAAAATTTGAAACTTGATACTTGAAGACCAAACTTTTTGGCTTGTAAAACCTTTCTCTGCCAACATCTATTATTCAGAACCAAGTAGGTCGGAACACTCAGGTTTTTGCGCTGAAAAATGAAAAGTCTCGTAACCTTTTTGTTAGGTGGCTTCAAAAAGTTGGCGCCGATTTGATATTTCTCAGTAAAAATTACACAAAAAAATTAGGAATCCTAAAAAAATGCCAGGGTTGACCAAAAATGCAATCATACAATTTTCATATATGGAAAAATGCTACTCATACACTTTTCATGCAATTCCATAAGTACAGGAAATTGCATGAAAGGTATATTATTAGTGATTTTTCATAAATGAAAATTGTATGGTAAGCATTTTTTTTTGACAGAATTTCTTTTCGTATTTATTAGGATACACCGATTTTTATGCCAAAACAAGAAAAAAATTATTTGAAAATTCAATTACACTATTCAAATGTATTAAAAATGTATGACTAGTATTTTTTCACAGACTTAGTTTATTGAATTGTATGATTAGCAGTTTTGGTCTATGGAGCTCGACCAGGGTAGTCACAAAGCTGAGAACCATCTGAACTAGAGTTTCATGGAAAGTAATAGATTATTATGATTTATATCTGCAAAATTGCTAAGCAAAATACTCGATTTTCAAGACCCAGTTTACTGTGAGAATTGGTTTTTGGGGGGTTTTAGTCGATTCTTTTCGATCTTAAAAAACTAATTATAATCGATTATTATCTGCTATAACCCATTTTATTCATCCCCTTGTACCTCACCCCCTCTCCTTAACGTTTAAAAACGGCTAACAAGCCTAGCGTCCAGTGTTTCGGTTTGAACACCAACACTTGGCTCCTAAAACAAGGTTTCATGACAAATTTTTGTTTTCAGATTTCAAGTTTCAAAGATCAAAATTCTAATCGTAGGCTGTAAATCACAGTTTCATTCTAACAAAGTTATATTGAAAGCCAACTCATAGGCCTTGAGGTTTCAGATTAAGGTTTCAGGAGCCAACAAATTCCCATGTCTAATAAAAATATCAAAAAGTCAATATTGCTTGAACACATTAGGTAACACTAAGGACTATTTAGTGTACTTAAAAAGATTATTATTTTTAAACGTTTAGGCTATTTAAAAAACTACTTTTATACCTCAGTGAAAAAAAACATTAACGTAAGCTGTGGCAGGCAAATTAATCAGAGATTAATGACAGCACACCTTGTATTATTATTTTGTTTTCAAAATTGAAGCTTATAGTAGGAAACAAAGTAACAAAAAAACTGTATGGAGTATTACAAACAGCGCGACGAAATAAAACGCTTTTTATAAAAAAAAAATGCCGGCGCCAAAAGACAGGATTCATAATCAATTTTCAAACGAACTACCCGGGTGATAGATACACAGTAAAACAAAAATAACCCACATAATTTAGTTCCATTTCAGAAAAAAAACGAAGTTCTTATTCAAATGTGTTAAAAAATTATTTTTATATATTTTTTGTAACATAGAAAAAAAAGCTGACAAGCAACTCAAAATATGAGAAAAACTTATTCCTTAACTAAACATTGCATAAATTTTTCAGAATATATAATCACTGAAAAACTATTCTGCTTTAATTATTATCATTATTGCCTACATGTTCGAATCAAATCAACCAAAAACTATCGAAAAAAGTTCACCGATGATGAAGATAAGTACAAGAGCAGCATAGAAAATGAAAACAACCTTATCAACCTTATCAAAGAACCTTATCAAAATTTTTATACGTAACCTAAGTACCGCACTAGATTGGTAGATTGTCAATGACAAAATTCAAATATAAATATGATGATAAAAGAACGATAAATAAAATAGAATTCTTTGCCCTCGCGAGATCAAAACTCAGCTCCCGCGAGATCAAAACATAGAGCTCGTAGATCTTAGACGAAAACCCAGCTAACTGCAATTCGACAGCAAAAAAATGACTACACAAAAATTGTGAATTAAAAAAAAGATTAAAAAATTTGATAAGTAAATTATAAATACCAACAAACTACCAGAGTCTTTGTTTTTACCCAAGGAGTAAAAAATTATTTGGCTTGATATCATATTTTTTCAATATTGTCACACAACAAGATATACCATAGGTTATAGAAATCATAGAAAACGGTAACAAGGACATTTTCAGTGTACATAGGAGTTTTCTGAAAGGAAATTTTTGTGTATGTCCACATTAGACAAAACAATTTTCAAAAGATTTACCAGGAAAATTATTGGAGATCGCTCTATCATACAAAAGAAAATTCTATAAATTATAATCTTGAAAGATATAAGTTTTTACAAAAACAAAATGCAAAAAAAAACAATAAATGTATCCTTATCTAAATCAAATCCCCTCGGGAACAAAAATTTAATGAAAGGCCGTCAAACATACATTTTATTAAACACCAAATCAATATTGGTAACAATTAAGGCACCTTCAAACATTAAATGAAAATGCATTCTTCAGAACTTCCAAAACTGATTGAAAGACATTAGCATTTAACGGCGAAAACCCTAATAGGCGCCACACATTTCAAAGTTGGCAACATTTTTGTCTCAATGTTCTGACGTGTGTGACTTTCCAGTTTACGGATATCAATTAGAAAAAAGGTATCCATTATTTGAATAAAACCGTACAAAAATAAAACAAATAAAACAAGACGGGGAACAAAACAATTGTAAAAATTTTTTTAGAATATTTTGGAGTCTTGTCAGGTTATTCAACAGCAATTAATTTTAGAGCATTCATGAATTTAATTTACTTCTGGAGTCATGATGTAAGCTGTCTCAGGAAAAATTCACATATCGTCAAGTTACATCACAATTTCAAAGTATGACACTAATTTGGACAAAATGAAAAATCTAGTTTTCCCCAGACATTTTAAAAACTAAAGTAACAGTGGAATACATCAATTGATGCAAATCAAAAAACGAAAATTATTGCTATATTCTGTTTCCCTCAATTTTTTTGATCAAGCCTGAAGAAGTAGGAGTGATATCACAACAAAAAGTGCATTCGCTCATAAAACTTTTACTCCTGATGACACAAGTCCTGTATGGTGCGTCCTTATCTGAAAGATCTTTTGCAACAATTTCACCTACTGCTAAGATCCGAAATTAGGTATCGGCAGAAATTCAGACCTGAATTCCATGTCAAGTTTTGTAACAATCGACCCTTGCATACAATGCAAAAAATTAAGATAATTTCTCGGTTGAAAATTAACTTCTCAGTTTTCTTCCATATTAGTATTTGGTTGAAATGATGGCCTCTTTGATTTCTTGGAGGAGAAGGCGACTCCGGCACAACTCAATGGCGTTGTCTTTTGTGACTCTTCGCTTCTGGCGTCCACATTGAGCTTGGCGTCCTCGATAAGTCTGTCGTCTTGAAAAAGATTGGAGTCGAGTGTTAGTCAAATTTAAACATTTACATATAAAAAAAACTTGACCTTAACAAAATTTATGCTAGCGACAATCGTTGGGGAAAAGAATCGGTTGAAAAACATAAGTAAATAAAAAACGATCCTCATACAAAATTGTGAAACAGTTAGCTCAAAAAACAACAAAAATCTAACTATCATCGAAACTCCACAAATTTGAAAACCTACATTTCATAAGGGAAAGTTTTTTTTTCATCAATGAACTAATTGCTAATTTGAATGTTAAAAATACGGTATACTAACGTGTACCACTCTTCGCCAAAACGTTTGACTTAAGAATGCACCAAAATATTAATCTTCTGGTCAAATTATGAAAACAAAATCTGAGTCAACATCTTGCAGTTGTTTCTCTTTGTCAAAAGCAGTATGTCGGAATTTCCAGAAAATGAACCAACTCGACATGACCTAAATGCCGCACCCTTGGAAAAATGGACTGATACAATTACTTTTTCGTTTCATACTACAGATATAGATCCTAAGAACATATCAATATTCATCTAAGATTTGGCAAAAAAAACACTGTTTAGCAAGGGTTGACTCTTTCTTTTGATTCCTTCGAAGTTTTTCAGAAGTATACTCAGTAGCAATAACGTCAGAAAACCAAGCCATAAACATGTTAGAAAAACTCTTGGACAATTGGTAAAGTTGAAGCACAAAATAAATTACCTAAACACACATTTCTCTTTTCAACTTTTCGCGCCAATTCCAGTCGGCTTGGAGAGCTTCCTGATGAATGTTTCAAGGGACCGATTGAAAATTCGAACATAGAAGGCCGC